AATAGATATGTTGTTATCTCTGGTAACCCTTAATGGACTTTTGCTGACCAGGACTGAATGAGGCTTTAAAGATTTATTTTTAAGATAAGAGATGAGATATGGAAAGAAGAGATAATTTGTTGTATTTTAACAGAAGATGATAAGTTACTAAAATTGTTTATACTTGTTATGAAGCGGGAAGTCATTTCTTTATGTATTTTCTTTTTCTTTACTATATTTGTATTCTTTCTTTTCTATTTTTCTATTTTTTCCTTTTCTGTACTTTCTATTTAATATTATTTTTTTTTAGTTTGTATTAGTTCTTTTTAATTGTAAAGTTTGATAAAATTATTATTAAAAAAAATCATTCTGATACTGAAGTGCTGCCTGTTTAAACTGATTTTTGCCCATGATAGCAGGGAAGTGTGATAAGACTCCTTTTCTCTGTTTCCCCTATGTCCTTTTAATTAGAATTTTGTTTTAATTTTTATCTGGTTTTAAATCTAATTTTAACCTAGTTAGACTAATTTAGTAGCTTTCTTCCTTTTTAAGATATTTTTAGATAGTTTCTTTTTATTTATCTCTCTAATGGGGAAAAAGAAGAAGAGGTTTTGAATGAACTCTGAATATGCAATACACAATTTTAGGATTCATGTCCTGGCTCATGGATCTGACTCTACACCAGAAAGTACAGAAGTTTCAATTCGAGCCTCAACTTGCCTCACAAGTAGAGCTAGAACAGAGGCAGTAACTACAAACAACCAGTATATGTCTACCGTTCTCCCTCTACAGAAGTACTCCTCTATAAATCAGCAGACAAATCATTCAAAAAATAATGAGTTATCTAGTCTCCTCTTAACAAATCCTTCTCAAACAGACTTGCTGGAAAATCAATGTCTTTTAATGGCTGATACTGTTTCCGTAATATACCTAAATGTAAAAACCATTAAGGAGAAATTAGACATGCTTTTCTGCCTTCTAAAGTATTTCCCAAAAGGAATTGCAACAGGTGGAGGAATCCCCTAGAATCACCTCTGCACCTCAGAATAATGTTATATATACAAATGGGATTTCTATTAAAAAGCCATTCTTTCCTTGAGTTTGCTGCTATGTAGTCCAGTTTCTCAGGTAGGTTTAGTAGCCACGGAATGGCTTCCTAGTTCAAGGGATGTTTGTATGATTTTACTTAAGTTTAATTCTTCTACAATTTCATATATGTTAATTAGAACGAGCAATTATTTGGCATCCTTTGAAATTTATCCTAATTGGGTCTTCAGTAATCTGACAGTTAAGCCTCTACTGCCTTCCTCCAAATCTGGGTTCGTTGCCAAAATAAAACTGGAAACACAGACCTAATATATAGCATGGCTCCAACAAGCAGTGATAAATTTGATCATCTATTCTGGCATCTACTCTTTCATCCTTCTGTTAAACCTAGTTTCAGTGCCAGTAACCTAATTTCTTTAGTGTTGGATCAGATATCTTTGTGTTTAATTGATGCTCCACTTGGTGGTGACTCACTCGGCCCTTCATTATTCAGTGCCTTTCCCAATTAGCTCTCAGTTTCACAATCAGAAATAAAAACTAGTTTCTCAGTTGAAAAATGACAAAGCTCCAGTAAAGATATGATTTTGCCAAAATGATTGAAAATAAATCCTGATTGGTGGGCTTCCATACTAGCCCCTCTGTTTATTGCTATTAACAATGCTCTGTCATTTCCTAAAGAATGGCTTAATTATATCACTGTTCCAACATACAAGGAAATTGATAGGCAGAATGCTGCTAACTACCGTCCCATCAGTTTATTGTCAGTAATTAGAAAGCTATATGCTAGATTATTGTCAATAATTAGTAAACTATATGCTAGATTTCCCCAACATAAACAATCCTGAACGGGCAGGATTTAGATAAAATAAATAGATTAAAACTCTGTAAACAGAATTTGCACCTTAAACACAGGCTGCCAGTTTTTTTTTTAACACAAAGAGAATACTATATTATGGCAGGGATGTTCAGAGTTTAGAACTCTCTGTGTGCCCAGCATAATGCATAGACGCCAGCCTCAATACTCCAAGTGGTATCTTTGACCTTTGATATTCCTCCAGGTGGCTGGGTGATTTTGGGCCAATCACTCTCTATCAACCCAATCCATCTCATGAGGTAGCTGTTGTGGAGAAAATAAGAGGATGAGAATTAGGTATGTACATTACCCTGAGCTGATCAGAATAAAGGCAGGATACAAATCAAATAAATAAAAAACAAAGAAAAACAGCAGTGCAGGGATCGCCTGGCTCACTTTCAAGATATATAATTTTTTAAAATCTTTGGCTCTGTTCATTAATTTGCAGGTTTACTGTATTGTGCTTTGGGCTAACTCCACATCAAACCACTTGTTGCTTCTAAGGCATATCCAGACTTATCCCAGGAAGTTTACCTTTGTCAATAAAAGGGGATAATTAGGAGTGTTTCTCTAGGGAATTGTGTTCCTGCCTTATTACCTAAATACCATGCCTAAAATGGATGGTGGGCTCAGACCTATCTTAGGCCTTAAATCTCCCAACTCTTTTTTTTTTATTTTTTTATGATTCACCCATTTCAGGATGATACTGAGTGTTTTATTTCTTCCATCTTGTGGAAGGGGATGTGGCTCAAGTCTATAGATTTGTGGGATGTATACCTTCATATATCCATAGAACCCTACCCTTGCCTGTTCCTCCATTTTATAATAGAGGGATCTATTTACCACTTGTATATTTTATAATTTGACCTCTCTGCAGCTTTGAAATTTTTTTTCCTAATGATATTACACCTGTTGATATGTTCTTGTGCCTCCAAGGTATCATTTTATTCTTTTAAATAGATGGCTCCTAATTACATTATGATAAGCCTGCAGACACATGGCTTTGATGCTGGCTGGTCATGCAGACTCACATCCATGTAGATTGTAGGAGAAGAGCTCAAACTTTCTGTTCTCTCTAACTCTCTGTTTTGTTTTAATGATAACATGTTGGGAATAGAAGGAAGTTTAGCTTTTCATAGGACAGAGCTTTCACAGGAGAAGGAAAGACTGATACAGAGCTGCCAAAAAAGGGAGAAGTCTTTAAAACAGCTGAGATGGTGCATTAAGATCAGAGAGAAATGGCAGAGATAAATGACAAAAACAAAGTAGTAACAAAAGACTGAGCAACACACTGGTGATGTACACGTGGATCATAAGGTCCCAGAATCATACTCTGGCCTTAAACTCTGGATAGTGGCTGCCGGTCAGTGTCCAGAATAGTAGATTGATTTGACATTATATAAGATAGTTTTCTGCCATTTATTCATTTTTTTCCCCTTTTGATCATGAGGTGCCTTTTTCAAGACTATCCCTCACTTCTCTAACACATTCCTTTGCCACTTAATGCTGTGGCCTTAGC